CACTTCATCGAAGTGAACTCTTTACTTCCTGGTGGTTGTCTAGTGCACACTTCCAGTTGTGATTCGACACCTGTTTTATAATACCAATACTTCACGTTTCCTCCACCGATTTGGCAAGAAGCGACGTCCGACACTAGCAGAGCTACGGTTTGCCCCATGAAGCCACTGGTATAGGCGAAATAACCTTCTAAATCTTTGGCTGAAGATGAAACAATTTTTGCGTTTGAACACTCACTAACCGCTGCCCTTCCTCGGTATCACCATGTGCTGTGGATCCGCTTCGTAATGAGTGCTGATTACCCAGTCACCACTGTCTTCTGAGTTGCTCGCGTTTCTCCACTGACAGTTGTAGGAGAAATCGCAGTTCAGATCGGAGGAGGATGTTATGTCCGTGTGAACTGGAAAAAAGTTGCCCAGCTTTTGTTACGTTCATTTGTAGGGACGTACCTGTTGCGACTAGCACAAAGAGAATGCTGAGGATTGCTTTACATGGTTGTACTGCCAATGATGCCATGGAACATAGAGATAGTATTTAAGACGATAGTGAAAGGAAGGAATTGAGTGAGTAGCACCTTTGTGCGCACGACACTGACCAACTGACCCATTCCATGCGATCGGTAATTACTACGCGCGCTTTTCTTTCTCTCAATTATCTCATCTGCCTCTCTTGTACTTCTGTATGACATTTCTTGTCACAAAGTTCGTAAACGTAAGGTAAAAATCTTTTGAACAAGATTCTTCAAGGATTGCTTTTGAAACCTCTTTTCCTCATCTGCTTGCATTATTACTAATGCCTAACGCGCGTTTAAAGCGGTGAGGAATTGTCTGATACAATCCTTGTCCTGCAAATATGTCGATATACAGGATGTTCCAAATATATGATACTGCTTGATTGTTATAACTCCTAATTTTAAAATTTTCTCAAATTTCGATGGTTCGTTTTGAAGAACTTAACTTCCAATTATGAAGGAAATATTACGTTATGATCACAGTACAAACTTATGATGCTATGATTAAAAAAGTAATGGAACAAACAGGATTAACTGGTAATAATATGAGTCTACTACACCTAGTGAAGAAGATTTTGAGCAAAGTATAGAAATATATTTAATAGCTTGTTTATTTGGCAAGAAAGTAAATATGATGAAATACCAAAAATACGCGGCATTCCTAAGATGCCTAAAACTCCTATAGAGTTTCGATTTATCAGGGGAGCAAAAGAAGCACACTGAAACCATTAACAGTACCGCTGCAAGTAATTCTTCTGCATTTTCGCAACGACTTTGTTACTGTAAGGTACGCCAAAGAGCAAAAGTTAGGCACTTTTGCGCAATAGATAACATTTATCAATTATTTAAAGAAGGTTAATAATAATAGATTTATATTCGGCAGACTTCTTAAGTCTACTAATCTACCATATGAGGTAGTCAGAGGTAACCTCAAAAAACTCGTATGAAAGGACATAAGTATGTAACGGTCCACAGTAATAAGGTATACTACACAAACTGTAATACACTATAAGGAAAGTACTATCAACTAGAAGATGTGTAATACATGTTAGATGCAGTGACGGGATCCAGTTATCTATATTTTGGGGGTAATATCTATAGACAAGGATATAGTACAGGGAGCTTCATCTACTCCGCAAATACTGATATGACTTTAGAATGCTATAGAAAAGGCAAACGACAGCGATTAGTAACATTTTATAAAGGTTAGAGTGGAGGTGTTAAGTTTCGCTTATATAACAAGACAGATTGTTATGATTTCAAGCTAACTATCCTCCTTGAATGTCTAATAGTCCTAAATATACATTAGTCACCCTTAACTTTAGTGCTTAGAGCATATAGAAATTGCTTCTATTATATAGTATGTAAAGAGAGGATAATAGAGCTAAGTCGTTCTTCCAAGAATAATAGATGGGAACGTAGCTCATTTATCAGTCTTTCCATAGTAAACTTTATATTGCGTAAATATAGGTTTCCTACAAAGATCCCTTTCCCACTTATGCATGAGGTGCAGAATACATGGTCAGATGACAGCATATAACAGAGAATAGGCGGGAATTTAAACTAGCTACAGTCATGTTGGTTTGTATTTTCCTGTTTTGCATTTATATTAGTCCATCTTCGTCTATTGCTTTTCATAGCTTAATTTCCATGACTTACGGTAAAATCCCGTGGTTCACTAGTAGTAGGTTAATTTATCTTTTATCAACTTTCTTGGGAGCCACTGATGAAAGGATACATAATCCGGGGGGCACCAAGGAAGTCGCACTACCGGTTTATTTCTTAGCCCAGAAATCGGATGTGTGGAATTTCGTGCTCATTTATAGTACAGTATCACTTATAGATTCATCCCAGTTAACTCA